TATTTTTACAGAGCTGTGCATTTCTTTTTTTTTTAATTTGAGGAGTTGGGAAACTGTTATTGTAATTCAGGAACATTAACTACTGAAGACCGGCTGCTCAAATCAGTCAAAATCTACTACTTAGAGAGATAAAGCCAGTTTGTGGTGGGTGGGTTGTGAGTCCTCTTTCATCAATCGTCACTGTGTGGACCCAGTGGCGTCACTCCTGCCCGGTCTTATAAAACTGTCAGCGCCTTTCTCTCACCTGTACTGACACACACCATCCCAAACAGCAGAGTGAGGGCTCGCTTTGGTAACAGAAAGGAGACTGCGGTGTCTTAAAATACGCACCACCTTGAGCCATCCAAGGGAATATTCCCCTTCCGATCGTTTCGATACAAAGCTGGTTCTCCCGTTTATTCTTTTTTTTATGACTCTGGCAAACTATTCTTACTTCTCTGGCATGTGCAACATGACCGCAGAGCCCTCGCCTGCAGAGGCAAGCCCGGATGTCATGTCTCCAAATGTGAGCTTGGATTCGCCGCTGCCTCCGCCGCCACTGATGCTGCAGGCCCGTCCTAAGGACAACATCCTGATCAAGTCTGAGCCACAGGGGAGCAGCCCCAGCACCGAGGACGGGGGCGCAGTGGGCCACACAGAGGAGCACCTACCCACAGGCAGCCGCCGCAGGAAGAGGCCAGTGCAGAGAGGGAAGCCTCCCTACAGCTACATCGCTCTCATCGCCATGGCCATTGCCAACTCCCCCGAAAGGAAACTCACCCTGGGGGGCATTTATAAGTTCATCATGGAGCGGTTTCCTTTTTATAGGGAGAACTCCAAGAAATGGCAGAACTCAATCCGCCACAATCTGACCCTCAACGACTGCTTTGTGAAGATCCCCCGGGAGCCCGGCAGGCCGGGCAAAGGCAACTATTGGACTCTGGATCCAGCTGCAGAGGACATGTTTGATAACGGCAGCTTTTTAAGGAGAAGGAAAAGGTTCAAGCGCACCGATGTGAGTACCTATCCCGGCTACATGCAGAGCTCCAGCGCCTTTACTCCAACCACCATGGGGAGGCAGTCCTACCCAAACACGCTGTACGCCGGGATCGGGTCCGGCTATGGTTCCCAGTTGACAGCCACATCTCCACATCCCGCCATGATGCATCACTACCAGACCCCGTCGGGGGTCGGCCAGGGGCAGCCGCGCATGTTCAGCATCGACAACATTATTAGTCAGCAGACTGTGGTGCAGGGCGGCACGGTTGGAGAGCTCAGCACCCAGGCGCTGGGTCTGAGCGGCTCCATGACTCAGGGTCATGGAGCCCTGAGTGACCTGGGCTCCATGACCTCCAACTGCTCTGTAACCAGCACCGACCCGTCAGCGTGCTTCCAGACCCAGACTGTGAACCCAGCGGCGACCATGCTGGGCAGAAACAGCGGAAACCTGACCTCCAACCTGGCGACAGGGTACCCATACTCCGCTGCCTCCACCTCTCCCCCGAACCTGCCCTCGATGAGCCAGGCCGGGTTCTCCCCCGGCGGCTCTCAGGTGTACTGTTCGAGTAACAGACTGTCCTTGCCGGCTCTGCGCCACGGCTCCTGCGCAGAGCACACGGAGCAGCTCCTGGGCCTCCCGAACCCCATGAACTCCTACAACAACAGCTACATGAGACAGGGCAACTTCACCACAGGATTAGAGAGGTATATGTGAGATAATATGCTCTTAGTTGAAAGAACATTTGCAATGACCGTACGCGTAATAAGTGCGAGTTTGTTCCCTTTGTGGGAGAATTTTAAAACATTCATATTTAAAGAGGTACAAAGCCATCTATAGCCTTGAAACATTCCATCTTTACATTAAAAAGTCATAGATTGCTTCACCTCCTTCATAATTCATGTTTCAGTTTGTTTGATTAAATTCTTCTTTCTGTATGTGTAAAAAGTTTGATGTAGCTCAAGATTTTAAGATAAAAAAAAGTGATATTTGCTGGCAATCATGCCGCTGGAAATAAATCATTTCTTCTTGTTGAAGAATTAAATGTGTCCCTGGTTTGTTTGGGGGTGTTTTTCTTTTCTTTTTTTGTTTTTCTTTTTGATGACATTTTCGTGGAATGTCAGCCAGGAACTTGCTAAAACAACCACAATCACAAAAACAAACACAAAACAATTACAAGTGCAAATGCACGCGCTGACTCTGAACAAGATTGTGAATAAATAATGGTGATAAGAAAATAAATAAATAAATAACCTTACATCTGACCAGTTTCAACGTGGTCTGTTAAATGTAGCTGAGACATAAAGTTTTAACAATATTTCAAAAAGAATTTTTAGCTGGTCAAATTTCACTCATCAGCTAAGCGCACCTTGACAAATTATCTTTCCCGTTCGCAACCCTACCCCACCTAAACCAATAACAATAATAAAAATAATAAAATCAGGTAAAAATTAGGGGGGGGGAGCAGTACAACTGAAAAAAACCCAACATGACATACATAGTAAAAATTCATTGCTATATGCACGTCATAAATAACCATAATTTATGGTAATAATATGAAAATAATGAGGCGACCATCCACAATACATAGTTTATGTCTGATTAAACTTTTTTGTCTCTTAGTCCGAAAACAACAACAACTACAATGCTAATAATAATTATTATAATAATAATAGCAATAATTTCCTCCACAACTTGAGCAATTTACACATTTTAGCCTCGAGGTGGCAGCAGCAATAAGATGTTCATTGGGTCGTCTTAGTTCTTTTCCTCAGGAGACTGTTGCTCCTTCACAGATATGTTGTCAAAGCTCTGCCAATGAAAGCGTTGGCTTGTTGTGGCTCCAGAGGTCAACATCCGGCAGGGACGCGGGGATGGAGGAGGCGGATGGGTTAGGGTATTTTTTATATTTAGGTTATTTTGGATGCTCAAACGTGGTGCAGCAAGAAAAAAATAAAAATGGAGTATAAATAAATGAATAAATTGAATTCACTAGTCGAGACTTACAGTTGGAAACCGATTCCTCAACTATGTTGTTTGGTTTTTATTATTAGGCCAATGTTTAGCTTGCATTTTATGCAGAGGTGCACAATTATTTAGCAAGACATACGTTTCAGAAATTTCACTGGAAATTGTGGATTTTTTTAAAATCTCTTTTTTGGGATCCAAATCGTAAAAGACAGAGAAGCCAATTTATCCAACTGATTTTTTTTTCTTTGAGTTCACCAGCAGGTGGCGCTTGAACACCGCAAACTACAGCATGCTTATTCGGAAGCGCGACTGGGTCACTTTATGAACATCCACATTTCTGAAAAATAGCAAAACCGAGACACTCGGATTCAGTTTCCAAATACATTAATTAATAAAATACATGTAAGTAAAATACTTGCTTTAATCCTTCCATTCTTGAAGTGAAACTGTAGAACTATAGGGATATTTGACAAGTAAAAAAATAAAATATCGAGGTTTTGGCATCTGTTCCAATTACTGAGAGCGAAACACATCTAGTCTATATCGATCTTTTATAACAAAGAAATTTGAAACAAAAACAAAAAAAAAATACTTATTGATATGCATGGAAACAAAAAAAAAGAAATAGAAGAAAAAAGTTGTAATAACTAACATTTCAGGTAAAAAAACAAAACAAACAAACTAACAAAAAAAAAAAAAACCTGAACCCTTCAATATCTGCTTCCAGACTTTTATAAGTCAGACATGAAAACAGTCCCACAATATCTCACATTTCATTTAAACTCGATTTATCGAGTAAAATGTTTTCCAGACAAAAGGACAACAAAGGAGATAAACGAGGGAATAATATCCAGAAGCAATGACAAGCAGAGGGAAGCTTACATATAAAAACTCTTAAACGTAGAACGTGTTGATCTCGTTAAGCCTGATCTCCTATTAGTGCGAGTCTGAATGGAGGCATGACGGATGACAACCCGGTCTAACGAACGAGAGGAACCCGCAGATATTGTAATATCATCTGCTGACGTTTCATTCCTGATGAGGAAAAAAGAAACTCGGAGCACGTTGCAGTGTCTTCAATTTGTCCTTTTACAACTCCTGCAAACGGATCATTGTCTGCCTTGTCTAGAAGGAGACGGAAAAAAGCGACTTGGATATTTCACCTGTCGAGTAGCAGCAAGAGGCAATTCCTACGTTTGTGTTTGAAACAATATCAGTGATAAGAATTGTTTGCATAAAATCATGAATATTATGTATATACTTATTTTTTAAGCTTTATCTAAGAAGGGAAAACTCGTAAGTAACAAAGGTAAGACAATACAACAACTATTCACATGCATGTGATCATCTATGTAACAAGCTTTTTCAGTAAGTTATAAACATATAAAGAAAAAAAAACATCTACTGATAGTCAAGAAGTATTGACCGAGCGTGGGAAATGTCGTTTATCTTTTTTAAGAAAATCTGCAAATAATAATAATAATAATAATAATAATAATAAATAATAATATAATAATAATAATATAATAATAATAATAATAATAATAATAATGTATCTTTTTCTCTGCAAAGAAATGTATGCATTTACGAATAGGATGAATCTATTCAAATTAGTTTGATTAACTCTATTAAGAACAGATTAAATCAGCAACATCGAATATTTCCCAGTTTTCAGCACGGCCTATATATTCCTGCAAGTCTTTAAGAAGTAGAATTCAGGCAGATTTCGTTAACTCGCGTTGTTTTAACTCTAAGTTGAAGTTTTAGATTTTAAAAGTGAGCCACAATGAGGAGACAGTAATTTTACAATATTTGGGTCTCGAGTTCAGTTTCTATTTTAAAAAAATATATGTTATTACTATTTGAACGTCAAAAATAAGTAAATAAATAAATAAATAAAACATTGATTAATGTAAAATACAAATACAAAACATTTTTGGCAGAAAAAAAAATCTGTCCAGTTCCTGGTAACTGTGACTCAAAGATCACGTGATCGGCGTGCTCCTATAAATACCATTTGAAAGCTAAGGAGGATAGTGTGACAGTCCGACTGGATACCTCTCCAAACCCGTGCGTAAAACCTCTTTTGGAAAGACATTCGGATACTCAAAAGCTGTGTTTTGACCGGAAGCCATCGCATCTAAAGAAAAAAAAGAAAGGAAAACTCTGCCAGCTATCGATGGAAGACGTTGACTGTATCTTTGGCTGACTTTTTTACGCGAGTGCATCAGATTTTTTTTTTTTTTTTAATGAAACCACCCTCGGATGCAAAAGTAATCACAAGATTCGCAGGTCAATGCGATTTTTGTGTCTCTTAGCTATGTGTGCATTGACTCGTTGGAGATAAAGTGTCCACAATAATACCTTCTTGTAAGGGGAGGAGAAAGGGAGGGTGTGCGCACTCTCGCACTTCAGCCTTACCAGAAAAAGGGAAGAAATCTGGGAGAGACGGCGGAAGAGAAGTTGCGTCTCCAAGGATGACTTTAGGGACGGATATGTCCGACAGCTCTGCATTGTCCGAAGATGTGGACATTGATGTGGTCGGAGGGGACATATCCGTCGGGAAAGACGGGAAATACATTCACCACGAGTTCAACTTGGACAATGACTCGGACGATAATTACTCCCAGAGCGCGGCGGAGAGAGGTTCCTCTCCGGGGCTCAGCAGCTCCGAATGCCCGTCTGAGCCCCTGGGATCCGGCGCGGAGTCTGGGACCTTGATTGGGGACAAACCCCGGAAAAGTGCACTTGTGAAACCCCCTTACTCGTACATCGCTCTGATCACAATGGCCATCCTGCAGAGTCCCAAGAAACGCCTCACGCTCAGCGAGATCTGCGAGTTCATCAGCAACAGATTCCCTTACTACCGGGAAAAATTCCCCGCGTGGCAGAACTCCATACGCCACAATCTTTCCCTAAACGACTGCTTTGTGAAAATCCCACGGGAGCCCGGTAACCCGGGAAAGGGCAACTACTGGACCCTGGACCCGGACTCCGCAGACATGTTCGACAACGGGAGCTTCTTGCGCAGGAGGAAGCGCTTCAAAAGACACCAAAGTAGCGAAATCCTCAGGGACTCCGGCGGCTTTCTGCCAGGGTTCGGATACGGGCCGTATGGATACAACTACGGACTCCAGCTGCAGAACTTTCACGCAGCCCACAACCCTTTCCACCCGCACCACACCAGCGGATCTTTCCCCTTCCCCAACGCCCCCTGCACCTTGCCGTCACCTGCATCCATATTCCCCGCGCCGCATCACTTGCCCTCCCTTCTCGGGACCGACCTGAGGAAGCCCTTTTACCCGCAGCTCAGCCCGTCCCTGCCGCCTCTCAAGACGGACTCCAGCTCCACGACGAGTCGGCCCTCCTTCTCCATTGACAACATCATAGGAGCGGCCAACTCCAGCGGCTCTTCCTTCAGCGCGCAGAGCAGCAGCCAGGCTCAGATCCTGGCCATGCTCACCCCGGCGCTGACCTCCGCTTCCAGCCACCTGAACATCTCCCAGGAGGGCCTGTTCCAAGCAAGCCCGCAGAGTCAGACTTTTCCCACCAAGACCTCCAACTTGAACACTTGCCCTTTCTAAAAAAAAAAAACTGAAAAAAAGTGAATAAGAAATAATAGTAGTGGCGTCGTCCTATGTGAAGGTAGGATGAACATTTTTGCTGCAAGAAAGAAAGAAAGAAAGAAAGAAAGAAAGAAAGAAAGAAAGAAAGAAAGAAAGAAAGAAAGAAAGAAAGAAAGAAAGAGTTTGTTTCGAGCTCTCTTGGTTTTCTGACAATGTGAGAGGAGACTTTATTTATGCGATGTAAATATATGTGCATAACACTGAGAGGCAGACAACTTATGAAAGATCATAAAACACAAACACAACGCAGGCCTGCAACTCCGGTCTGCGGTCATCTTTCAGAAGGTGATGGGATTTAAAATAATAATAATAATAATAATAATAATAATAATAATGATGATGACAATAATAAAAACTGATATTTTAACATAAGTTGAAGTTGTCACCAACGACCAGTGGGGCTTATTTCCAATTTTTTTAATTATAAATATAACTGAGAATTTAATTATGATTTATATTGTGTTTATTGTAAGATAGTGGCACTATTGTTGTTGATATCTAGAAGAAAGACGGCAATCTCAGGTTTTTACTTAGAAAGCACATGAAGACGAAAGGGGGGGTTTCTGACTTTACAATCTCCCGTAGTCCCCCTTTTACATGGTGAATTTGTGGCAATATCGTTTCCTGTTGTCAGTGGATATACATCTATGTTGCGTGATTGACTCTCTCAGCCTTTTTTTTTAATTGTTCGTTCCTCCTTATATTTACAGTTGAATCTGTGAAACATTTGTCTTGTGTTGCCAATAGCTGAGCACCTAAATGTTCATAGGTCAGTTCTTTTTTTGTTGTAATGACAATAATAATAAATGTTTGTGAGTTTAAGAAACAAAACAAAACAAAAAAAAAACTCTTTTTTTTTTGCTTTAGTTTTTCTGCATTCAAAATGACAAGAAATTGGGACAAAAAAAATCTTAAAGTGCAAAACGAGAGCTGGCAAACTTGTCTTAAACTTGTTTGCTTTTCTTTATCATTTTTTGTTTCATCACGTGAAAATTCTTTGATGAGATTCCAAACTGTGGGGTTTATTCGAAATCAGGTTCACGACCCAGAGTCTTTCGCAATTTTTTGCGCATGTTGTCAGGGATTTCCCAAACAAACTGCCGCTTATTGTTAGTGGGAGGAAATTATCAATGTGTTAACAACAACATTGGCAGCTAAGGCTTGCACTAAATTGACATCTGGGTATCAAAAAAGACACGTAATTCCGCTTTATATGATTCCACATGTTGATGTGCGCAAAATTGGAGAGTATCACGCAACGGTGGGCAAGTATATTCCTCTTGTGTGGCTGTTACTCGTTTGTAAAAGGACCAGCGACTTACAAAGGCTCCCCCAAATGAATGGGAGGGCGGGGGAGACGTTATAGCGAGCCTCGGTACTCTGTAATTGAAAGTGAACAAGGATATCCCCACGGTCTTTGGGGGCTTTCGTTGCTAATTTGTAACAGCATTTTTCATCGGGGCTCTCTAATCCACAATAATGCAGCTTTTTTTCACCCCCTTTTTTTTTTCTTTTTTTTTTTTTTTTTTTTTTTTTTTCGTTTGTTGATGTTGTCAGCGTGGACCCCTGGCCCAGGGGACTGAATGCGCACACAGCGAGCGGTCCAGCCACACACGCACAGGCTCTGAAAAGCAATCTTCTCAAAAGGCCCTCGGTGTTGCTCCGCTTTCACGCCATCCGTGTTGTCACATAAAAAAGAAGCAGTGGGACTCGTCCTGCGACAGACAAACAGGCCCATTGGTCTTTTTCAAAATTGTTGGACCACATGTTTCCATACAGAGGGGAGGCGCGAAGACCCTCCCCATTATTTAGAGAAATCTGTGCGCAAACGGCTGAATTAGTTTGCGGGTGTTTTGACAGATGATTACCGCGGATGAAGGGGTCTTTGAAACGAAAACCAACACATGACCACTTTCTTTATCCGGACCCGGGCCTTTTGTTTCTTTTCTACTTCTCTTGAGCTCGTTAGTGGAACTGAGTGAAACCGATGAAAGTCGAGAACGGATTTGAGGGAATCATTTTTGATCAGCGCCTCTCCTGCCCATGCTCGGTTAATGGATGTTCTCCATGTTCAATTTGCAAAGTAAATGGCCTGGAAAAAACATTAGCAAGACTATTGAAGTTTTTCCTCTGCATAGGGAGTCATTACGCACCGCATCAGACCATTAAGATCCGCGTCAAGAGCTTGCAAGGGTGGTTAAACATTTAAAGAAGGAAAAGGAGGCCAACAAAAAATAAATAAATAAATAAAATAAAATAATAAAAAAACTGAAAAGAAAATTGCAACACAGGCTGGAGCAGATGCACACACGGATCAACCACCAGAAGGGCTCAAACCGTGGCACACATTTGCAACAGATAGTTTGATAATAAGTTCACTTGGTTTTCTGCTCAAATCCACACAGACGAGTCCAGGACGGAAACTCGCTGGTTAACCCGTCAAGCACACCCGGGTCACACTCATCCGCCCTTCTAATGTCCCACATACACGCGAGCGGGACATCATCTGTTGATAAACTCGCCATAAATATCGTGTTTTCGCCTCGACCGTCACTCGAGGACACCACAGCGTGCATCTGATTTAGGTACCGCAGAGACATTACTCATTTTTTTCTCCCTCTTTTAATAAAGAACTGAGTGATATGTGAAGTGACAGCCAAATGACTCAACAGTCACTATAAACACGTTTATAAATTTCAAGGCAATTCCCATCTTTTTTTTCTAACTGCTTCCATATGCGCAAATTGGGCACTATACTCGCGATTTGAGCCGCTGTAATTTATGGAGAGACGTCAACGAGATGCAGCTTTTACTTCACTGTTTTACAAATTCAAATGATTCTTAAAAGAAAATTAATACCCCAAAAATACCTATTATTAATTATTATTATTATTATTATTATTATTATTATTATTATTATTATTATTATTATTATTATTATTATTATTATTATTATTATCATCATCAATGGATTCTTAATGTTACATTTAATCCGTAACATTAAGCCAATCTATGCTTGTTGACGTCAGTGCCCTGTGAGGTAATAAGTGAGGTATTAACCTCACTTATCGATGGATTTTAATTTTCCTTTTTGCAAAGTTGTTAAAATGCAGAGAGATAATATAATATAATATAATATAATATAATATAATATAATATAATATAATATAATATAATCGTTTTAACATTTTAATGAGCATTATGAATATTCAACTGAGAATATAAGCTGAGCATTTTGACCTTTTTCGCGTTAAATAAAAAGATCAAACTTGACAACAGGACGGCTTACCCAGACCAGACTTATTACTTAACAGTTATTGTTTTTTTTTTTTTTTTTTTTAAAGAAAGAAAGATACGCATCATTCATTTGAATGTGTCTAAACCACCTAGCGCACACACACTCTTGCTTGTATACTAATGGTGAATTTTGTTGCTTTCCCTGGTGGAGCAGTTTGACAAGTGGGTCAACCTAAAAAATGTGTAATGTGTTTTGTGTGTGTGTGTGTGTGGACACGATAAGCCACCACAGAACAATCTTGGCACGGTCCGTTCGGCCTCCCGCTCCACTCCCCCCACCCTCCACCTACACCGGCCTGGAGGAGAGGCGAGCGGCGCGGCTTCGCATCTGCAGCTCCCCCATAAATCAGTGCAGCTCCCGGTCTCCCTGCTCAGCCCTGTGTTTTTCCAACGCGCAGAGGAATCCTCTGCTTAATTAATTTAGAATGTGTAAATAAAGTGAGGACAGTGACCTCTCCGTCATCTCTGGAAGCACAATATTAACTCTGGACCATCTCTGCCCTCGCTCTCTGGCTCCTATAGTGATGCAGACATTAAAGGAACACCTGCTGCAGAAAACAAGGAGCAGGGGCCGGCGCGCGTGCGGCTACATGCACACGCACAAGAAATGTTCATGCTTTATTGGGTCAGGAGGTATCAATGACAATATGTTAGTGGTCTGAGAGGACCACTGGAAAAATCATATTAAACTATATAAAAAAAAAAAAAAAAATATATATATATATATATATATATATATATATATATATATATATATATATTATATTATTATAATATATATATATATAGAATATTATATATATATATATATATATATATTACTATATATATATATATATATACATAATAATATATATAATATATATATATACTTTGCATTGCACGTGTTTGGCATCAGTTGATGTTACATATAAGTTTGCGTTCACAAAGTTACCTTGAGAGGATTTTAAGACTAATAAGAAGAACAAAACAAAAAAAAAAACAAAACCAACACCCCAAAATAATCTTTATTTATGTTACATGTCCTTAAAAGCATAAATAATGGAACTAATGAACAAAATTGAAGATAAAATGGCAAAACATACAAATGAGTGATAATACTAGTTAAAAAAGAGATTTTTTTTGGAGTCCTGAAAAAAATAAAGAAAAAACAAACAAACAAACAACAACAAAAAAGAAAAAAAAAATCTGTCCACAAAAGTTAGCCAATTATTTAATCTCACGTAATCAACCTTTTGCCATAATAAGAACAAGACACAACACATGTGAAACAAAAAAACATGGGAAACAGTCTGACAAAATAGAGAGAGCAGGTTTTTTTGTGTGTGACCATTTTATCTCTAAAACCAAAACAAGACAAAGCAAAGCAATAAATAAATAAATAAATAAATAAATAAATAAATAAATAAATAAATAAATAAATAAATAAATAAATAAGCAAGATGCCCAAATATTCAACTATTTACTAACCCAAAAAACAAAAAAGAAAAAACAATAACAAAACAAAACAAAACAAAACAAAACAAAAAAAAACTATGGCTTCCCGCAAAATACGCACGAATATTATTGAGCTAATTCTCCCTTTAAATTCAAAAATACAGAAGAAATGTAGCAGACAAAAAAACAATGGGGGGATCTTGGGACTTTAGCTTCAGAGCCATATTACACCCGTGCGCCAGTATACGCAATTGTGTGTATTGACCAGGAGGGACCCCGCATCCCGGAACATTACACATTCACTCGCTCTGCCATTATCTAATTAAACTAAGCCAGTTAAAATTAGGACCTGCTGGCTGTTCCGCATAACCATTTCCCCTCTATAACCCCTTTCCCGCCTCTGTCTCCTCCCTCCCTATTGGTCATCGGTCTGTCTGTTGGGCGCCTCCATCCCGTGGTGTTTATAGGGAAGTCTTCACCGCAGCACTTTTCCTCTGTGCGGCTTTTGATAGAGGCGCGCAGCTGCTGCAGGCCGCTCTCACACCGCCATCGGGCGCTATGATGCGGGCGCTTTTTTTGCAGCCTTCTTCTGTTTGACCTT